AGAAAAATTGGCCTTCTGGCAGTGACTGAAGATTCCTCTCAGTTTCTTAAATTAATCCAAGCTCTTGTTTAACACTTTCAAGAAGAACCCATTTTCTTTAATCAATGCTGTGTCACTTTAATTCTCCCCAGTTCATAGGCTTGTTAGAGGTCGATTGTTAAGTCTTTGTACATTCTATCTTTCTGGGCTTCTTGATATAAATTTTCTGACTTTTTATCTTGTTCTTGCTGTAGGTTTTACAGTTGTTGTGTATAGCTTTGTCCTTGACAACTTAAAGTGGGGTTGTTTTATCCAATGTGGATAATAATAAGATACCATCTACAGTACCAAATTATTACAGTTAACAAAATATTTTCTAAAATACATACTGTAAAATTACAAGAGTAATACCACAGGTTAAATTAATATAATATAAAACCGCATTCATTGAATTTCTGGGCACTTTTAAAGAAGACAGATCTTGAGTGTAATGTATAAAAGTATCATGTTGAGTGTTAAAAAAAGCTTACAGTGTAGTTTCTTTGTAAATGTGCTATGTCAGTTAACTTATAGCATTAAAAGTGAGCAGGATGGAGTACATAACTTACTCTCATTTGCTGCCCTTCTGAAATTCTGTATTGATGGAAACCTTACTTCACTCTGCCATTTCCCTTTAAGTAGAAATTTTGAAAAGGATCTTGACCTAACCATCATATCCTTTAAAAGGTGCAGTTTATTTTAATTCTTCTTTGTGATTTCTCTGTGTATAACATATTATTTGTAAAATAACTGTAGGAATGGCATATTTAATTTGTGTTAGGGTCACAGGATTGCTGGACCCTCTTCCCGGCAATCAATGGACGCAAGGCAGGATACAGCCCTTAAGGGACACCAGTCCATTGTAGGGCATACACACAGACGAACACTCTCACAAAAGGCTAGTTTTCCTAGAACCCAATTAAATTACAATGAATGTCTTTGAAGTCTGAGGAAACTGGAGCACTCAGAGGAAAACCACATGAACACAGGGAGAACATACACATTCCACGCAGATACTGTAGCACTCCTAGTCCAGAATTGAACCCAGGGCCCCAGCACTGCGAAGCAGCAAAACAAATTGCTGTGGCACAGTGTCACTCTATTTTTAGGATATCAAAGTTAAAAAAAAGTATCTATAGGAGAAATCAGCTTTTTTCTTCTATTAAACCACTTCTTAGTAAGTACCTTGAAAGTTCAAGCTTCAGCCTAAGTTTAAACATGTGGCAAATCTTGTAATGGAACACTACTGTTTTTTTTCTTAGCCTTGTTTAGCAACATTTTAATATGCAGGTAAGATTGTAAAAAGGTTTTTTAAAAGCCTAGATATAACGTTTCCCCTTGTTGTGAATGGTGGCTTTGACTCTTCACCAGAGACTTAAGGCCACTTATTCATATGACATGCTGCATGTAGGTATGAAATTTTGTCATAGTCTCTATTTGTCTTGGTGAACAGAGTACTGATCCAGCAAACTACACTAATTTATATCTTGCATTGAATGTGGAAAAATGTTGGACCCTATTCTAATTTTTGCAATACTGTACATATGCAGTATATGCAAAAGCAGGGGATATAGGGGATATACCAGTGAACGTTAAGCTATAAGACTAGTAGCTTTCAGTAGTTTTTACTGGGCGTGTCACATAGTTTTCCACTTGTGGCCTCAGTATCCTTACGTTTCAGACATTTAGCAAATTAAAATTTTCATTTTTCCAGTTTCTTTATAGTGAATTGTTTTAAACATGTGATTTGACAATATTGTAAGAAAACAAAGAAAACCTGGGTACGGTACATAGCTTTAATTTGTCGAAGAGGCTGTAGTCTGTTTCAGATAGTCTCTCTTGGTTGTCCTCAGTGATTTCATGGTCTAATACATTGAAGGGCTCTCACCTCTAGATCATTTGAGGGTGCGTATTGAATAATGTTTATCCGAAACACAGGTCATTTCCACTCAGCTCACTCATTTAGTAATCAATAGCGCTTCTGTAATGACCCTGTGGAGCACTAATTAATGCATGTTTACTACAAATAGCAAGCGTTGACAGAGTATTGAGTTAGGAGTTTGGGGACCAAACACAGCACATCAAAGGACATTGAAGAACAAGTGTGTTCTGCCTAGCATTCTCCAAGAGACTGGGCTGAATTATTCACACTATCGCCTGCTTAAGCATGCTTTAATCAAAGAGAGTAGGAGGGTGGTCCAGAAACTTTTGAGCCTAACACAAAATGAAATGCCAGAGAACATTTCAACAGCAACAATTTATAGTCCATATTCAGCACACTAATAACACAACCGCAGTTTACTGCAGTCAACATTTTCTTCTTATACATGATAGATGCTTTGCTGGTAGACTGTAACAGTTGCTGAAATTTAATCAAATTTTGTGCTGTTGTCAGATTTTTAGAAAATTTACAGACATATGAAAAATTGGGATTTACCAAACCCCAGATTATTTTTGCACACATTTTGTTGCTTGTATAGTGACAGCCACAGATTGAGAAAAATACAGAAATCTGCAAGGGACAGGTTGCTTGAAGAATTTAAATAAGCACGTACAGTGCAATATTTCTGTTGTGCTGATGAATGAATATTAATGAATTCCCTTACTGACTTTTCAAATGCTGTAAAGGTGTCCATTTATTTTCCTTAATCAGTTCCTGTTTCACATTAAAACTTTGGCTCCAATACCCCGTCAGACATTTAACAGATTTGTGCTGTAGAGATATTGTGTAAAATATACTCTTGTATTTTTTTTGTCATTGTTCCTTTTAACTGTTTGCAGCCATTCCCGAAATTATGCCGATGGTACAGATCTTCCCCTGCCTGAATGAGAGTGATATTGTCGTTTTCTCCAAGATGCTAGCTGTCAACCACAGCAGCAACTGCAAAATGTATCCAAAAAGCATTTGACCTTCATTTGGGATTTAAAAGTTCTCTGTAGACTCAAGAATGTAATGACAACACTATTCTTGATTTTCCCAAACAGGTGCTCCAGCAGTGGTTTCTGATGGTGCTTTTTACATATGACTTAGAAATTTTAACCCCTCCCAAATGTGCATTCAAAAGTGAATATTTTGTTTTGCTTGCAAAGGGAGAGCTGATTATCAGAATAATTCTATTCTTATACTACAGATTTACAGACTTGCTAAATAAATACAACTGATATTTCTTCTTTATGAACTGCCTACTAAAACACAAGATTTCAGCACAGGGTATGCAGCTGGCTCCAGGCTGTCACGGCAAGCTAGATCAGTGTTGCCTTTGAAACACAAGAAAAATGGATTAATGTAAAAAGTGTAAATAGGGTATTAAAGTGGATTAACCTTACCTAAGATCATTCAACTCTCTCCCATCTGTCTGTGGATTGCTTAGCTTTCAGTACCACTCAGCTCAGCTTTGGGACTCTACAGAAAATGTCGTTATCAGTTCCCCTAATTCTTTTGTGTGTTGACTTTCCTTATTTTCTTAATTTTTCACTTGAAAGTGAAAGTATAATGCAGTAGGTATCCAAATACAGTATATCAATGGAATATGTGGCTTGGTGTATGTGTAAAATATCCTGTCATTACAACCCTCAGTGGACCACCTATTAATTTTTCAAACATTGAACATTTGCATTTTTCCAAGCATATGGTTTATCATTTGCTGTAAATAAATGTAATAGATTTCCTCATCTGAGAGTGATTTATTTTTGTGAACTGTAGGTCTTTAGGTTGTGATTTTGACTGCTGCCAGTGCTCCTGAGCAATGACATAGATTTGGAGTGAAAGCAGGTAGCTAGAACAGTAGACAGAATGATGTTACTCATGTTACTCATTGACCATGACTTTATTTGGGAGCAGTGTCATAAGGATAGATCTTAAAGAGGTAATTGTAATCTGACTGTTCCTCAAGGAAAATCCAAATTTTAAGAAGTGGCATTATGATATTGCAAGAAGTAAAATATTTTCTATTTAATATTTTGAAGTATTTTGTCTTTTAAGAGTCATATTGATAAAAGTAAACATTTGAATACAACTTTGTTAAACACCCCTCAGTTAAAAAGAATAATCTTGCACAAATAATTTTGGAAATGCTAACAATACTTAATGCTTTCCTAGAAGTACCAATAGACAGACAGAGGAGTATGAAACTTCATACTGCAGACAGATTTTGTTATGAAAATAAGCAGGAAAATGTTTTAAAAATGTTGTCCAAATATCAAATATCCAAATAAGAGACTGTCATACATTTTTGGTCTGCTGTCCTAAAAACAAAATAATAATTGACAAGTAAAGTAAAGTGTTCATTATTTTTTCTCTCTCCAGTATTTTGTGTTCATGCTTGAAATTGTACTAAAAGTCTACTACAGTTGCAGACATTGTTTATACTGTATGCATGCCACACATTTAAGTATAGTGGCCAGGAATATTCATATGTATTTTTCTAATCATTTTTAATAACACAAAATAAGTGGGTAATGACCAATGTTTCTTTTTGTATGTAGCAGATAATTCATAGTTAGAAATAGTTCCATATATCTGTGTGTGGCTGAACAAGCTGAGATTATAGCAGTCCTCCTAATTCAACTAATCCACTCCTTGAATATCAATTAAGACTGAAAAGTAGTTTTATAGCAACTGATAAGCCAGCCTTACAGCTCCAGTGACTAAAACCAGAAGAGCTGCTTTTTTAACCAGTAGCTAGCAGCTACATACATTATGAATATATTAATGTAGTGAGCTGTTTCAATCAGCTGTGCTCATCTTCCTCTTGCATGATTTTTTATTTCATTGATCCCCTCACAGACATCCTGACGTCCAGAAAGGACAGATGGAAGCACTGAACTTGTATAGTCAAAACAGACTGATGATACACCTATTAAAGACATTGTATCACTGGAGGTGGAGCTTTTCAACAGTGCCAGCTGTCTGGTTGGCTGGCCCCCTGACAGCAGGGAGGAGACTGTGAGAAGGAGGAATGAGGGAGAGAAAAAAGGCAGCGCTCTATTACTAGAGAGTTGCATTAGGGAATGCCTGGTAGATGCTGCTGCCGATAATAGCACATCAGCAGCACAGCAATTGAAAGCATGAAGAGAGTGGAGTCTTAACAGCTGATTGCAGAATGAGAGACTGAGGTAGCAGGGGAAGCAGAGCCGATGCATGTGACAGAAAAAGAACTGAGAGAGAGCAAGATAAAGTTAACAGCCTTGGAAACTCTCCTGTCCCAGAAAGCACCGTTAAACTTCTCGAGGATGGATAACTTAAACAGCTGAGCTTCAGAACCTCTGGGGACAGTTTATTCTTGCAAAGCAAAAATGGAATCTTGAAAGTTATTTACAGAAAAAAATAACAGAAAATTCTGCCAGGCTGCTTGGTAATGCTTTACACAGAATGTCTCTGCACTGTCATTTGTGAAGCATTAAAACAGCTAACAATGCAGAAAGATCTCTAAAGAGCCTTCGGATGTGTTTCTGCATTTCAGCTTGTGGTTGGCCAGATTGATGAAGCTTTTTTCCCGCCCCCCCGCACACACAAAAACAACTACAGAGAACCTCGGAGGTGTGTTTTTGTCCGTCTTTAATACTGAGACATGGTAGAGAGTGAAGCCAAAACCTCCGCAACATCTCAAAACCATGGAGAAGTCAAGTAGCGAGGATTCTTCGATTCGGCGCAGTCCTTCTGTGGACAGCAGGGACTCGGACTTTGGAAGAGCATCCACCTCGGGCAGGGAGTTTGGGGGACGTGGTTTTACAGCCGGCGCTTTCTACGGCTCCACCGGCTCGCGTGCGCAGAGCCATGCTGGAGGAGCTGCTGGTGCAAAGACCAATAAATACAGTGCGCCCAAAGGCAGCAAATATGTTGTCTTTTACCTGGATCTATCCTTTGTGTTCCTTTTAGAATTCAAGAAGTGCAACATGGCAAGGGGCTGTCTCTGCTGTTTGAAATACATGATGTTCCTCTTCAACCTCATCTTCTGGGTAAGTAAATACAGTACATCCTTATTTGCTGTGGCTGTTTTCTTTTGTCGTCAATTCTCCAGGGTGCTCTCACTCTTTATTGAACAGGCTTCCAGCGTAATTCCCAGAGAAGCTCTGTTTTCTCTTATTGCTTTAAAAGTTCCTCATTAGAAGGCAATGCTAAGGTATAAAACAAAATAGACTAACATGGGAACATGGACTAGTGCTTCTTTAAAAAACCCTTCGTTCAGAGAGTAAGAATGAGCAGATTTGTATCTTTGTATAATTTTACTTAAAGATGGGAATCTGGGAATTAGTCATTCTCAGAGGTAAACAGGGCATGGTCAAACATTTGACAGTTTCTTAGAAGGTAAAAAGTTTCTGGTTGTAGGTACAGGAGCTGTTTTTTAAACTTGAATTGTACATTGAAATGTTTGGATGACTGTGGCAATACACAAGTAAAACAGTCTTCAAGGTTGGTATTTTTCACCATTCTATTAAAATGTGAGCTTTGCATACTGTAGTGTGCTGGAATTTTTCATTTTTTATAATTTTCAGGACCACTCCATATAACATCTTCATCTGGGAACTAAAATAATATCATAGACTTATTTCTGACCACTTCAGACATCTGTAGTCCTCAAATACATCCTGTCAAGTCACAGTGCTTCAGGGATCACTGTCTGACCGTGCTCTGATGTATTAGGCTGCACATATAATCCTGACTCTCAAGGTTTCATGTTGCATGTCTGAATCTCCTGCAAGTTTAAGGCACTCTTCTTCCTAGAGTGCATTGCTGTACTCAGATTCATGATGCTGCTGTTGCTCTGAAGCTATTTGTCAACACAAGTACATTAATTTGTCAGTTCTCTTCCATATTCTAATAAAAATTACTTCATATTAATGGGGAGGAAAATGGAAGCAATAGATCACTTTTGCTCATCCGTCTCCAATTTGCAGGAGTTAAAGGGATTTGTGGGCTCATTTTCTATGGACAATCTGTCCTGAAATCTTGATAATGTATGCAGTGATTTCAATGTAAATGGGTCTAAGATATTTTCCTTCAGTCCTGTGAATTGAGAAAGACATCCACTGATCACCCCAGCATAGAAGCAGAAATACCTTTACTCATGTGCAGAAATAGACTGGCTCATAAGAAAAAAAATATTTTTTTTACATCTAAATGAGGAAGGCAGATGTGCTTCAGGTCCTAAGATAGAGCCTAGCCTTTTAATGTGATTGGCACAACTCGGAATACCAGTTGTCAGCTTCATGTTGGGAAAGTTTTTGCTAGTTGAAATTGAGTTCTTCATGGTTAATGTTCACTAAATGGTTTAAAGCAAGCTGGCAGCTATAATCACATTTGATAGAGTTTTAATTTACAGTGGTTGTAGGCAAAGTATGCTAAGTTAATATTTAAGATATTTGATCAAATGGCATACCAAAGGATTAAGCTTAAGTATAACATACTTTAAAGTAGGAAATTGCCATACGGCGATGGTGACAAGTATGTGTAAGGAGCATGGAGTGTTCTTGCAGGCACTGATGGATTTTGAACAGTGGCATTCCAGGAATGGCAAGGTTACTCATTTATAGAAGTTCAGTCTTGACACTGTCTGATTGAGGAACATATGCGTAAATTTACACCTTACACCAGGTGCAGTGTCTATTCTCTCTCTCCGTGGTCTGCACATCCGGTCAACAGACCCCACCAGACTCACACAAGTAACTCGAAACATAAGGTAAAAACTGCTAGGAACTTGAGGTATTTCTTTGTGCTCATCCATTTCTTTTAGCAGTTGTTCCTGGCCATCTGGCTTTTCTTTCTTACAGGGATTAATGGAGTCTGAGCTGAGGGTTAGGGCAGCTTATAGTATTTAATTGTGTAGTCAGGATTGACAGTAGTTCTCAATTCATCTAATGTACTGTGTAACAGCATAGGGCAGTGTAACAGGGAATGGCAAATTGAAAGCCACAATGCTGGATCTAATGTTTCAGCCAAAACGTGCCTGTTAATGAAATGTCACTTGTTGTCTATTGTTACATGGTCCCTGGAAGTTATATCTGTGTGGGTAATCGGATAAAATTAACTGTTGTAGTTTCCTCCTGGTGTCAGGTACCAGATTCTCTGCATTGGGTCTGCTGGGCTTTAGAATTCTACCCTCTGTTCTGTGGAGTTGCTAGTGTGCAGTTCCAAGCACCAGTTTGCTGGAATGTTCTGCCACCGTAAGATACCATACCACGTACAATACTGCATGCACGACAAATTTTCCAGCCAGATTTTTTGTAAATGTATTTACTTTGTAGATCAAAATTTCATTTTATGCTTCGAAGACAATTGACCAAGTCACTTTTCTGGAAACATGGTTTCACTGAGAAGGGAATGGAATCCTGTTTTTTCACGTATTCCTAATGTATTCCTGTGCTTGCTTAAGGTTAAATTGTTTAATTTTAGCACCATTTGGATGCACAGTTGATTTAATCATCTGCTTTGAGATTTTGTGTTTTTAAATTTGCCAAGAAAATGGCATAAAAGAAAATTACTCCTTTTGTAGTTTGGAATGCTTTTGTATTTAAGTGTTGTTTCTTTTTAACATACATTGCCAGCATTACAGGACTCTTAAGTCTTTGCTTTATTTCCTTGATATTTTATTATTCTACTGTGTGTCACATCTTAATATGCACAAAACAAAATGAAATGCTGGATACATTCCAAATGATTACATAAAATAATCATTTGCATTAAGAAGTGACCAAAACACAGCAGACTTCCTCTGATAGCACACTGTTCACACCACCTCAGTGGGACTTGCCTACGTCCAGTTTTACTTGCCAGGCTATTACAAATTCAGGCCAAGAAAAGCTACAGTGAATTTTCATGCCCCTGTCCCTGCTGTACTCAGCCTTACTAGGGAGAGAACTTAAAAACTTACAGGATATCAACTAATTGAGAAGAGTATTAATAATCAAAGAATATTTTTTAAAAAAAGTTTTAGCTTACTGGGGTCTTTTCTTTTATGTCATTTGATAATCCCAGAATAAGTAAATGTATAGTCTGCAGTTTAAATTACATGTATTTAATTGTGCCTTAAGTAATAAGAAGTCCAGATTTTTATTTACCACATGCTGAAATACAGTGGATCTTGTTTATTCCTTTTGAAAAATAACACACTTCAGAAAATCACTTCACAGAATTTGTAAAGTATGCAGAACCTCAAAGGCAGCTGTTTATTTGGGAATAGTGGTTTTCAGGCTTGGGGTTTTCTGTGGAATCTCTTAGAAGCCCTCATAATATGATAATGCCTGACCAACATAGGTTTTGGCTCCGCATCTGACAAAATATCATTGAATTCATTTACCCATATCCAAGAGAACTGTATTTTCTAATTGTCGGTATTGGGCACTGTTTTTTATCTGCAGAAATTTGCCTAATTTTTACATTTGTTCCCTTAGAATGCAGGTATCTTTTTAATTTTCCATAGTATGTCTTAGCAGTACATAAGTCTATTTCTTTGCAGATCACAGTCACATGAAATGAGATGGTTTGTGCTTCCCACTACTGTGTGCTTTTAACAACCTCTAAATTATCCCAGTACAAAAAAGGGCTAAGGGGACACTCAAAAGGGAATCATCCCTAACTTTATTACTCTCAGTCAGGTAACAGGCAACAGGCTTGTTAAATTAAGGTCAATGTAGCCTAGCCCTGTAATCAGGGCTAAACCGAAACTCTAGATCTAAATTTGGAATGGTTTGATCTCACCGAGTCTTAAATCTGTACGATATCGGTTTTAGTGTGAGGATTTTTATCGCTTCCTCCGTTTCACATGTGCAGTCAGGCAGGGTAGAAGGAAAAGTTGAAGCAATCTTAGTTTGGTCAAGAAGGAACATCCTGTATCTAGTTTTACGAAAACCCCTCATGCATTTTAACGCCAGTTTTGTTTAATGGCATGCAGACCCTGTAATGAGGACAAAACCGCAAGTCCCTAAAGTGACTCGAGGCGCACGGAATGAGGGCTATCTTTATTCACTGACCTGGCACCTTCCACTTCTGCTGTCTGCCCTAATAGGGATTTGTGTGAGGTGGTGCTTTTTGCAGCACCTTTCGGCTTAGCACAAAATCAGATAGGAGGTGTTTTGTAGGACACGGAGCCAAGGAGCCATCCCTTTGCAATGCAGTGTCTTATTTTGCTTTTTCTTGGAGCACCATTGTCTCTGTCACTTCAGATAGTGTTGTAGTTGCTGAATGACGGAATGCAGACAAAGCATGGAGCCCTGTCAACATAAAACTGGTCAGCAGCAATAATCACCCCATCCATGCATGTAATGCCTCAAGCTTCAGTCCTCTAACTATTAACACAAGGCTTTGTTCTGAGTGCAAAGGGCATTGTAATGCATGTTCTGTTCTGATTGTGTACAGTTTCCAAACCTTATGTTAATATGAAATCTGTGTAATATGCAAGAAGTTATATTTCAGAAAGCTCCAGCATGCTGGTGGCAACATGATATTTTGTAACACTAATATGGATTGAAATGTGAGTACATACATTTTACCATCTGTTGATGCGTATTCGCTGTGCTTCCTTGCTTTTACTTTTTCTAGGGAAGTGTTTATTTTGGGATTAAGTCAATTTGGAATGTAATCCATATTTCATAATGTTTTCCTTTCTGCAATTAAAAATCCTCTCTGTTCATACTGAATATATAGTAACTGAGTATTAACTGTTGAGATCTTGAAGAGTGGTGCAGTATATAAATGCTGTAAACAAATTAAAACAGTTATAATACATGTAGAAATCTGTCCTACAATATATAACAAAGACACCTTTGAGAGAGAGGGGTGGTGTGTACATGTGTATTTAATTAAGGTGTAAAAAGTAAGTTTGGAGGACTGAGGGGACTGTCAAATGCAAAAACAATGGCATTCTTTTGTAGTCCTTTCACAGCTATGGCTGTGGTGTTGAAGCCTGGAGTGATGTAAAACAGTCTCCAGATCACATTAGACATTACTGCTCACACACTCT